TCCCCCACCCCGCCTGTGTTTTACGGCGAACGTTTATCGATTTCTCTCATCACTGACCTGTTGTGATTCTACCCCGTTCTCTGTACCCCGTTATGTACCGGCCCTACGAGAATTTGTCGAAAGCTACGTATGCTCGTCACCTCGCCTTCTGACGCCAATAACATGGTTCTCTGTTTTTCCTCGCCTAATTGGGGGCAACCAGACCTGTGCTTATTGCCTTCGGAGCTAAAAACTGGTGGAAGTTTAAGGAGAGACGTTTGTGTTTTGCACAAGCTCTTGCGAATAAATCGTTCTAGGCTCCCAGAAGGTATATATGTGTTATCAGTAGCTCATAAAGGCTCTTATCTCTTGCGTGCAGTTAGGAAAGACAACAGTTGGCAAATTGCCTCCTTAAAAACTGCTCTGTGTCACCTGATGCAGCGGAAATAATTGGACGGTTATTTCGTGGTTTGTACCCAGAGGAGGAATATTCATGCACGGTAAAAGTTTTTTTTGTTTTCCGTTAAAACTTAACTTTTAAACTGCATGTCCATCGGTTTCGTTGGTTCGCGTTCTGGAGGTATGCCACCTGACCCCTCGCCTTCCGAAAACACACAATATTTTCTCCCAAAGGGAATGGGCTTCTGGAATCTCATATGTGGGAATGACGCCCGTTGCCGACGATGGCTGCCGTATGCATCACAGCAGTGTGAGGGCAGGGACGATAACTTGCGCATGAATTAGTTTATAGTTATGGCAGAATTGCGATGCATTTACCAAACTCTCTCCTCTTGAAGAGGGAGACACGATCGCTGGGACATTAAGCTTTATTAGTCTGACGTTTCGGATCCCTGCTCGAACCCATCATCAGAGACAACAGCAGATACGGGTGATTCATGCACAAGGGGTTGCAGTATTTATAGGATGCAGTCACCATGCTACCGTATACCTATGAACATTCACGGCTCCCCCATTCACCCGGGATGATCGCATTTGGTGTGCTAATTGTTTGATGGCCGAGGTTCGCGTCGTTAATTGCTGCAATTTCATCACGTGCGTTGGATTTTGGTGCGATGATTGGTCGACCATCAGACGCACCGACCTTGTTGCTGTTGTCTCTGATGATGGGTTCGAGCAGGAATCCGAAACGCCAGGCTAATAAAGCTCTTGTCCCAGCGATCGTGTCTCCTTCTTCAAGACTACTCCCTGGGCCTAGTCTCTTCGCTTCGACTGGCAAACTCTCTCCTCCTCCAATACCTGGGTATGATATTACGATAGAGCCAAGAGGACCGAAGGCGGAAGAGGGCCTAGATGGCTGGCACGCCGGAAGCCCTAACTTAGGTCTACTACCACACTCTCTGATCCGAAAAGGTACACTAACCAGGATTTTATGCCACAACACTAGTAGGGCGGGGGGGGGGGGTTGGCACGGATCCATACGGGCGCGGCGTGAACTGGCAACTGGGTGTGTCGCCAAACTCCAAATGTTGGTATATGTTATAGATGCGTATTCCAAATTACACCTGCCGCGCTCCGATTTAGACCCCGTGTTGATCCAATGCATCTACCACCTGCCCCGTTTTAGGGCCAGTGACGGGGCGCAAACTCGCCTCGCTGCTGGACGCCCCCCTCCCCAAGTTCTCTCGACCTGAGAACCAGGCCATAGTTCCCTGCCCTCATTCGGTATGGTTAGACACCTTCCAACATCTCAGTCTCTCAACACTACCCATTTTATTGGTTGATTTTAACTTTTCTCTGCCTTCAGTGACATACGGTGCGCTTGCCGACTTTGACTTCTCTAAGGAACACATCTGGTTACACTTGTTCATTCAGCCCTACTGAGAGGCATTTTCTTCATTCCTGAGATCCTATGCGACAGGACGCTACAATCTCTGCTTCCTTTCTTGGTTATTTCGTCTTTGAAACCGCGTGGCACAACAGGGGCCTGTTCTTACGCGCTTCCCTAAAGTGGGCAAACAGATCCGTTGTTTGCAAAAGTATCCTTAGAGGTGAGTTCTTCTGATCTCTCTACTCTAAAGTGAACAGGGATTTTGGCAGGTTTGTATTCGTGGATTAAGTGTAGTCATTCGATCCTTGGGTGCTTTAACTAGCAACTCTAGAAGTGGAATATATATATATATATATGCAGAATGGTATTACCGACAAAGACAAGGGAGACTGGAATGGCCATTTCTGGCTTATTAGCCGTCGTCAGCCAGCCATACCCAAGCCCGAAGTGTGGAACACCCGAGCCTCGAACTCGCGACCTGTTGGTTTAGAAGTCAACGCCTCTACTCACCGGGCCACGAGCCCGTTGCCTTGTCCACTACCACTCCAAAGTGGTAGCAGTAACCCTAATCATAGACCAGTGCTAAGCCTAACGAGAACGCCAACGATCAACGTAGCTGAGAGGAAGTAGATACGATTGCCGGAGCAAGAACCTTATTTACCTGACGTTTCGAGTTCGCTCTCCAACCCATCATGCATAGGAAGTCTCAGTACTCATATGATGCGATTTCTATGTTACTGAATTCCTATGGCAATTAACACTCACCTTGCCGTCAGTTACTGAAATTTAATCTTCCATGTTGGATGTTGATGTGATGATGGCTCAGCCATCACGTTCACCAAATTACGCGCTTCGCAAGTGACCAATTACTGTAAACAAACAAAGTCTCAGCGCCGAATATGCGTTGGGGTACCGTGAATCGTGGCCCACGCGATTATTACCTCTCGCGAGAATTTCAGCCTCGTCGATGTTGAATACGTGGCCAGGTCTCGCAGGTCTAACTTTAATCCTAGCCGTAACGTAACTAACTTTAGCGCTAAATTTTTTTGTAAAAAGCGGATATAAGAAATTAACTGCAAACTTCATATGCTAAAGACTTTAGGCGCAGACCGAAAACTGATATATGAATATTTGGACCAAAGTCCATCAGCCTTAACGGAATAACTGCGTAATATTCATTTACCGTCAACAGGTGCCTAGTACTATGTTCTAGTGTTATAAGATACCATGCTACTAGGCGCAGAATATCGGCGAAACACGCGTATCTGGGCTTTTAGCGATTACCTGTGATGCTAGTATGTTATCTTGTTACCCTAAAAGTGGATATAATGGTCTCCTTATCTACATTCCTTACTAAATTTCACAATTAATCAAAGGACGCGTAAAGTGGGACGCGCGTCTAAACTGGCTATGAAAGTTTGGGGAACTCTCTAAATGTGTGGCAGACTCCGAATGTCCGGAGCCTCGCGCTCCTCCTCTGGCGAAAATCTAGCGCATTGCGCAGAGCCGGTCGTGTGTCAAACGCGTAGACAGGATGTTTAGATTTATCAGCCGCTCTATCCGAGCCCACTTTCGGAACTCGGGAATCCGATTTATCGACGGAGCCAGGGCAGTTTGGACGAAAGCCCTGTATATCCTGGTACCTGGTTTTACTGTTTATAAACAACCAGATGCCCGGTTTACGGAAGTCCGTTCGATTCTTATTCTCATTTATTGACAAATCAAGCTTGTTTCTGGACATTTATGAAATAATTTTAAGGACCGAAATGCATTTCTCAGAGAAATCAATGCTCCAAGGACAGTTCAAGGTAAGGTTCCTGCCTGAGATTTGTACTAGTGTGTATCTAAATTATTACTGTAAAAAATGACAAATTTGCGTTGGGTGTGTAGTAGAGTATCTTCACATCCATGTTAAGCCCAGGAAGGAATTTTGTTCATCTGGAATAACACCATTCCGTAGGTCATGGTGCATATAGCAACGATAAGCTGCGAGACTATGCTCATGATGATTCCTGTCTTCGCCTAGAACGGAAATATGCAAAGTTATGCAAACAGGTACTAGGTAAACATATCAGATAAGAATACCAGGAACGTAGTATATATACATATATATAGTAAATGGTTGCAGTAGTGTGCATTCCGAGATAATATGATGAAGATAGAAGGCTCTTCGGAAAAATCGAGTTGTACTCGTGAATTTTCGAGCTGGTGAAACCAACCCGTCGTCAGACGAAATCATATATATAATATATAATCCACCATTTTTTTATTATTTCCGATCTTTCAGTTGCTCCTAAGTCTTAAAATTTACTTCTACGCATTTTAGCAGCGCATTTTAGTAGTTCATGAAATAAATGTAGGCCCACCCATAGGTTCTTGTGACCACATGAGATCAATGTGGGAGTCGACACTCGTAGCTGTCCCCGAACGAAGATCAAAGTTGTCAAGAAATGTCTGGCGGGGTGACTTTGAGGCAATGAAATCAGAAATTGGACACAGACTATGGACGGAAGCATTACGAGGAGATGTCAATGAATGCTGGACAACCTTCCAACCAACTATGAGAGACTTGTTTGAACGATTCTGTCCCCTCAAGAAACATGCAACCGGAAATAAACCGAAATGGCTGACAACATCGGCTAAGAAGGTAATCCGAAAAAAAACAAGCTGTGAAAAATCTTCTTACAAACGGAGAGCCCAAAAAAAAATTCAGGACTTCAGACAACAACGAACCTTATGCAAAATACTCATTCGAGAATTACGAGCTTCTTATGAACTGAAGCTCCTGGAAGACTCGCAGCAAAAACCTAATGCGTTTTATGCATATATCAGGAGCAATACGAAAAACCGGGACCACCTGGCGACCTTAAAGGTCAAAAATAACCGAATTGTGAGCGATGGCTATCAAAAAGTCGAGCTTCTTTCCGAGTTTTTCCAAAGTGTCTACACCACGGAGCCACTCCTCCAGTCTTGTTCTCTTCCACTGCTCGCTAACCAACCACTTATAAGCACAATATTTTTTATTCCGCAGTTAGTTTTAGCAGAGCTAAATAAGCTGGATCCGGCCAAGTCTCCTGGACCAGATGAGATCCCGGGTGTACTCCTACGTCAGCTATCTGAAGAATTAGCAGAGCTACTTTCTATAATCTTCCGAAAATTGCTGGAAGCTGGCAAACTACCTGACATATGGAAGTCGGCAAACGTCGCACCTATCCACAAGGGAGGATCACGGCTATGTCCCACCAACTAACAGCCGGTGAGTCTGACATGCATTTGCGGCAAACTAATGGAAAAGTTAGTTAAAAAATCAATTACAAAACTCGATACATTCCGCTGTCACATCACTTCAGTTCAACGTGGCTTCTGCTAAAAGAGGTCCTGCCTCACAAACCTGCTTTCGTCACTAGAGCATTGGTCAAAAGCCATGGATGACGGACATCCAGTTGATATCTTTTACTTCGACTTCAGCAAGGCGTTCGATTGCGTCCCACATAAGTGCCTCATTCAGAAGTTGTCAGAAGTAAGGATAGGAGGAAATCTTCTGAACTGGATTAAAGATTTCCTAAGGGTCGATGACAAAAAGTGTTATGACCCGGAAGGAAGGTAGGAAAGGAAGAGAGCCGGTTCGGACGACGAGCACTTTATTGGAAACTTGCGGACAGAAGGGGGTTCAACTAATAAGGTGCGCTATTTATAGTGGCTCCTGTGAGTTCTAGAACATTCCAACCAATGGCGTATGCACGATAACTCCCCGGTGGTAACGTCTTGAATGTTCGACCAGCCATCGATTGGGCCACGCACGTGCAAAGCCACCACACGTGCATCGGCGCTGCAGTGCATGCCGGTCGGCCGTCTTACTTCACGCGTGTCTCATGCCGCCGGCTTGGTCCCCTGTTCAGCGCCTTAGGCCGTGGCCCTACGCTGCTTGTACTCTCCATAACAAAAAGTCACTGCGGTTGGCTACTGCTCAGAATGGGCACCTGTTACAAGTGGCGTCCCACAGCGGTCAGTTCTTGGGCCGCTCCTATTCATTATCTATTTAAATGACCTAGTATGGGAAGCGAAATCGGACATAGCGCTCTTTGCAGACGATCTTAAACTTTGGAGAGCTATAAAAGATGAAGATGACGTCAGGATACTACAAGAGGACGTAGAGAATTTGCACGTATGGAGCGAGAAATGGTGCTTGAGATTCAACGTCAAAAATGTGCAGTAATGCACGATTTTGCGTTAAAGGCGTTAACCTGTGTTAATTCGTGACATTTCATGAGTTAGCACAGGTACTGTAGTATCAGTGAGGCGAAGAACAAATGCACCCCCACGACAGTATCTCCCGTACAATCAACCACTTAAAACCGTAGATGTGGAAAAAGATCTCGGTGTATTCATTAAAGACGATCTAAGCGTCACCACGCAGTGTTCTAAAGTCGCTGCGCGGTCAATGTCAATTATGTGCGTGAACGCAGAACGTGTATTCACTTGAATAAAGATGTTTTTGGCAAAGTATACGGGACATTTGTGCGGCCGCACATGGGATATGCGGTACAGGCTTGGCGACCGGGGCTTCGGAAGGATACAGATATCCTTGAAGGTGTACAACGGCGTGCTACAACGGCCGTTCATGGCCTCAAAAATTTCACGTACGAGCAGCGCCTGACGGCCTTGAACCTCTATCCCCTCCACTACAAGCAGGACAGAGGTGACCTCATAGCAACGTTCCAGTTGGTAAAAGAAGTTAATCTGGTTGTCGACTGAGAAACGTTTTTTGAAATGGCACTCAAGTCTAATCTCAGACGACATGATTACCAGCTTAAAAGGGAACTGTGCCACACAAATCAACGTTCCTCTTTTTTCTCACAGAGGGTCATTCGTCAATGGAACTCTTTGCCGGAGTATGTTGTAAATTCCCCTGCTGTGAACGTGTTCAAGAGACAACTGGATACTCACCTGCTGAAAAGCAACCCGAACTGCCGAAGCCTGATCTAAGGGATTACTGAAATGACTATAAATATACTACTAACAGGATTTCAACAGATCCTTTTTGTGCGTTAAACTTGGACCACATGGAAATTTTCACAGTCCGAATGCGGTGAACAAAGTTTTTCGCAATTATTTCGCGAATGGCATGCCCCTTTCGCCTTTATGTTACATTATTAGACTTATGAATTCTGCTTACTACAACTGCAAGCAACAGTTTTGCAATTTAACTATTTTCCCTTACACCTGTACCCTCTAAATAGAGTTTTCAGGGCTTCTGTCGTTTACTCCAAATATACTGACTGATACTGACTGATAAACTATCTATAAGTCCTTTTAAAGGCCCTTAGTCGTCGGATGCATAAGAAAAAAATCATTTCTTACAACGCGTAAGAAAAGAGACCCATTTGGAAGCACATGAGCTCAATTTTGCCATGCGTACCATGTCAAGGAGTTTGACGCGCCCCTTGGAGTAGACGATTGCATTTGGCGGAGTGGCCGCGGGCATAATAAATGCGAGCGACGTTGCGACGGTCAGTGGAAGGCCAAGTAGAAACGGATGGACATGGATCGACTTGGCCTAAAATAAAAGTATATTCGTAGTTAAGTTATTTGTAGGCAAAATTCGGTTAAGTGTGGGGAGTATAAAATCATGCCTTTCTAGTCATTTGCTGCCCGATCAAATTCTGGCAAATTGTAGGAGAAATTAACAGAAATCACTGCCGGCAAAGCATCAATTGCAAATTTCTGGATATCCGTAATGATCCTAGGGAAACAACCGTCATCTGCAAACTCCGTACGTGAATGTCTATTTGGATTAATCCCTAACATAATATGGAGAACACACGATATGTGATCAAATACATTTTTTTGGACTTACCAAGTCAAATATGATGGGAACCAAGATTGTAACCGTGGCGGAGTTGGAAACTACCTCGGTCAGGGCGACCCCAAAGAAAATAATCAGGGAGACAAGACAGAATGGCTGGACTGATCGGACAACTTCCAGGGCTCCACTTATAACTTTTGACAGACCACCGACCTAGGGGAGCAGGAAAACAAAAAAGGTCTGTCGGTCGGTGAGTGCGGAGAGAGAGAGAGGGCTGATGGTAGCTGGTCAGCACTGCGCTTCAGTCATCCGGATGGCAGTGCAGGAGTCTGTGGCGAGAGTCTATCCCATATGCTTCAGAGAGATTAGTATTAGTCCTGCATAAGAACCCAGATTATCTAGGGTAAGGTGACACCATACTAACAGCACAAGTACTAGCCAAAAGCCCATACACGCGTGTTTCGCCGATGTTTTGCCGCTGCATGGCGCAGCTGCGAGGGGTTCGGCTCGTCAGTGGGTCCCCCAGCATTCCCCGTGTGTTTTCTGGTAGATACTCCAATTTAGAAATTGTCACTTTTTAATTTCCTGAGAAATTTTGTGCGAAGTAGGAGTAGATCAGTATATTCAAGGTCTATAGGCACAGACCGAGAATTTTATACATGAATATTTGGGCCAAAGTCCATCAGCCACAGCGGGTAACCGCGTAATATTCATTAACTGCCTACAGGCAGCTAGTAGTATAATCTAGGGTAAGGTGACACCATACTAACAGCACAGGTACTAGCCAAAAGCCCATACACGCGTGTTTCGCCGATGTTTTGCCGCTGCATGGCGCAGCTGCGAGGGGTTCGGCTCGTCAGTGGGTCCCCCAGCATTCCCCGTGTGTTTTCTGGTAGATACTCCAATTTAGAAATTGTCACTTTTTAATTTCCTGAGAAATTTTGTGCGAAGTAGGAGTAGATC